CCCCAGAGGCTTAGAGTGAAATGTACAATAGCATTTCTTTATGGACCAGTCAGTTATGAGTGAATTCTGGCCATCTCTTTATCTTCCCATCACTCACTCAGGGTGAAAGTCTAAAAGGAGAAGGTACAGTCAGATGAAGTTTGGTCACAGGCCCACTTGTATGGCCCAAGAGCGAGAAGAAGGATGATCTAGCCTTTTTTGTTTGTTTGTTTTCTTTTTGTGTTGACTAGAGGGCAATGGAAAGTTCCTATTGAATCAGCAAGAGAGTAGCTTTCTAGACATACACAAGTTTCTGAAAATGCTGCAAATGCTCACTGTTTTCATAAGACCAAATCAATGAATCTTTTTTTTTTTTTTTGGAGAGATTTTTTGCTATAGGATGCATGTGCTCGCCAGACAGAGAGAGTCAGAGAGATAGAAAGTGAGAAATCACCCCCAAGGGAGGATGGCCACGCGGCAATCCCTTCTCCTCCATTCTCCTCTCGGGATCTTGGGCACGCACGCACACACATCCGGAGTGAGTCTAAGCTGCCAGGTTCAAGACATGAACCACGGTTGACTCCGTGGGAGTCCAGTGACATAGCCATTACACTAACTGCTGGTCCCTCATTTTTAATTATTTAAAAATTATTATTTTTCTGTGGCATAGTGTTGAAGCTGGTGAATCCTAACTAACTCATTATCTGTTTAGCTTGGAAGAGGAGAATAAATTTCTCATCCCTAATAGCTACATTTAAAATAACAATACCTACTGAATAGGATACTATTTATAATGCCTTATACACTGCAACAAATGTACCAGAAACCCTCAGTTTTCAAAGCTTTTTTTTTCTGCTGTAACTACTTATTGTTAGATTGTGTGATGGTAATCTTTCATTAAAGTTCATATTATTTCACTGCACAGTGATTCTGTTCGCCTAGTCATAATTTTAAAATAAGTAATATAGACTGTTTTCTTTTTTCTTTTTCTTTAACAGACAGGCTAGCCTCAATGAAGCAGCGGAGAAGTATTATGATCTGGCAGCCAGGCTGCGGCCTAATGTAAGTACTTTTCTGATAAAAACATTATGCAGTGGAATGGCCTCGAAGCATGTGATATTGTGATGTTGGGTTTCTTCTCTCACGTCTTATCCTGAATACCCACGGAGCAGCTAATTCGACAATAAAATCCATGAGTCTCAAGCTTCTTTGTTTTCCCAGATGTAAAAAAAAAATGCTATTTTCCAGCCTTTGTAAAGCACCATAAATTTTTGCCATTTGAATACAAGTTTTAGCATTACTAAACACTAGACATGTGGATAATTTTCAAATTGCTTGAAAGATCTTCGGGTTTTTTTGTTGCTATGGTATTCAATGCCTATTATTTTTTTATTCTCTTCTAAAGTCCGACCTTAGGCTGCATACCTCTCTCCTATTCTACATTTCTCATTTTAATAACTGTGCTTTTCAACTTTATCAAGAATGTTTTCACACTACTTTTCTCTGGGTAGTCACACTCCTATAAAGTAAAATAGATATAAATTAGGTTGGTTGTTGAAATAGAGTAACTGGACACCTGAGATAGTGTGGGAGGAGGATGGGAGATGGCAGAGGGTAAGAAATAGGGGAGAAATACACAGGCACACACACGTGTGTGTGTATATATATATGAAACTAGAAATGGAAAATTGTTGATGACAACATGTATGATTAAGCCAGTATGCAGCATATTCTGGATGGAAAAAAATCACATTTTGTATGTTGTGACAATGCTCAGTGAATGAATGTGAATTAATTAGTTAAAAACAAAAAAAAAAACAAATTTTTAAAGAAATAGAGTGACTGCTGAAGAGAAAATAAGAACTGGTTTTGTCTCAGTCTTCTAAGCGTCCTGTATTTGCAGCCCATCACTGGATTCCAGCACAGTGCTTTTATTCCCACTCCATATCAGTGTCCAATTATAAAACCTTACGCCCTGCTCACCAGATCTAGACCATGCATTGAGAAATGTGATTTTGAAACAGTAATGAAAGTGCATGTGTTATGTGAGTACAAATGATAGGATCAGTCTCATTTCTTTATAGTAACTCACCCATTGGACAAGCATTTATAGAGTGCCAGCTTTGTGATAGATTTCATACCCTAAAAGCCTATACAATGTAGCAGAGAAGACAGAACATAAGCAACTAATTGAAATACAGTGTAGCAATTCCTATCTGTGCATACACAGTTATACTCAGTCCTCTGTGAACACAAAAGAGGAGGGTTAATCCTCCCTGTAAGAGAGCCACAAGGCAAGTAGCTTTTTTTCTTTCTTTCTTTATCTTGCATTTGATCTATGAGAGGACTTCAAAAAGTTCATGGAAAAAAATGGAAATAAAGGACAAGTTAATTTGGGTGAAAAAATGAAATTTTTGAAATTTATTACCGAAGTTAGAAAATTATGTTTTAAAAAGTGTAGTGCAGCCTAAGATACTACACTTGATCTTAGCCAAAAGGCTATGCAGCCTAAGTGTACAGTGTTTATAAAGTCTACAGTCGTGTGCAGTAATGTCCTAGGTCTTCACATTCATTTACCACTCACTCACTGAGAGCGTCTTGTAGTCCCGCAAACTCCACTCATGCTATTTGCCCTATTAGGTGTACTTTAAAAAAATCGATTATACTGTATTCTGTATTTTTACTTTACCTTTTCTACGTGTAGATTTGTTTAACACACACCATTGTGTTACATGCAATTTCCCATTGTATTCATTACAGTAACAGGCATTGCTTAACGTGCTTGTAAGTTTATAGCATAGGAGCAGCAGACATGAGCCTGTTTATTAAGTGACTAAAGTCAAAAAGTCAATATGTAATTTCCAACTCAAATCCATTTTTTGCTGAAACCCCCAGATTTTTTCATAAATATGCCATAAGCTGTTTTTGAGGATGCATTTATTCAAATATACTTTCTTTATCTAGTAACAATAAACTAAGTGTTTTATAGTCTTGGGTAGAATGCAAAGCTTGTATTTGACAATACATTAATATGAATGTTATAGTCAGTGGATCAACAGATGTGTTCTTGTCCATGAGTGGTGTTTTGATTTTCAGTGCATAGACTAGGTAACAGTAAGATGTCACTGGGCAAAAGTGATCTAATACAAAGACCATAATATAAATTTCTATTCTGAAGTGATGAGACCTATTTAAACAACAGCCATGTAGTGATTTATTAGCAATTATGCGTCTAATCTAAGTTAAAGCATCTACTATTTATCCTGCTCATCACTGTTTATACCCTTGATTTATAAAAAGATTCTTTGTTGTTTTCCATACTTTAATAAATTTAAGTTGCCTGTTAATATGAGAGCACAGCAAATAGATCTCAATTCTAATTCGCTTTATAAGTACTTTCATTGTGTTTTTTTCCCTGTTTTTCTCATCTACACAGTAATCTAATTTTACTCTATTTCTCTTAAAAGCATTTTTCTTCTATTGTTTGAATGTTCAGGCAATTCAATGGCTGTATCTGAGGGACTCTATCAATGTTTTAACAATGCTTATATCAGACCATGACTACACAAAGTAAAATACATGACCCCAACTGTGTAATAAGTGCTATCACTTACTATACTCATACTGAAAACATAGTTGATTATCTGATGGCTGTGACTTTTCTTAGTAAAATACCTTTTCATTTCTTTATTATGTCCAATAATGAATTTCTTTATTTTTTATTCTACAAAAGCTATATTTTCCTGTACAATTTACTTTGTCATTGTTACTTGACATTTTTAATTATTTTATATAGAGAGACCCAGTGATCAAATTCTAAAGATGTGAAAGAAGTTTGAATTAATAAATGCAATGTTAAATTTTAGATTCTACTATTGCCTCATCAGAGAGGTTCACTGCATTGTCATTTTCTGAAGTGCAGAGGCAGAGAATAGCTTTGTTACAAAAATGGCACTGGTACAAATTTTTAATCTCATTTATTTGACTTTTAGGGTGATTATTCTAAAATTAAACCTCACATTATATTAAAACATATTTTTGGAATAGGAAAACACGTTACCAAAGTTGCCATCTTAAGTTTTTCCCGGTGTTACTTTTTAACCTTTATAAATAAATTGAGCTGTCTGTAGAGGTTACTTAAAAAGACAACAGTACTTTCTGCTTTCTCTCCCACGTATGCACATCAAAAAAATGCTGACTCTTGGGATCATTTAAACAAAACTGCTTTGTTCTTCCTTGGGAATTAAGCCAAATTCTGCATTAACTTAAGGATTTTAATTTTTTTAATGTGAAGAATGAGAAATTTGCCTAGTACAGAGTCACCGACTTTTACTTGGTTTTTAGTAAAGTATAAGCAAAATTATCAGTGGTCAGGTCTATGTATTTGTGTTTCCTGAATGTAATTGTGTTTATGCGGAATTTATTAAAATGATTTTGTGATCAGGACCAGCAGTTAGCATAATGGCTATGTTGCTGGACTCCACGTAGTCGACTGTGGTTCGAGTCCTGGACCCGGTGGCTTAAACTCACGCCGGGCACATGTACATGCATGCCCAAGATCCCAAGAGGAGAATGTAGGAGAAGGGATTGCCATGTGGCCATCCCCCCTGGGGGGTGATTTCTCGCTTTCTATCTCTCTCTCTCTGTCTGGCGAGCGCACGTGCCCTATAGCAAAAAAAAAAAAAAAATGATTTTGTCATCAAGTTCTACCTCTATGTTAGGCTCTATGCCAAGTGCAGTAGGATTCCAAAGTTACAAAGAACCCTGACCTTGAGAAACATACCATCTAATGTGAGAAGCAAGTGGAGAAGAGAACAGAATTATGTGCATCCTCATCCTCAAGTCAGGGCAGCAAATATCTCCATCCAGTAAGTACTTGGTAAGTGATATAACTTAGGAGCTAGCAAACTACACAGGAGAAAGGCATTACTTTCAGTCAGATTGGTCTGATATGAAAAGGCACTGAGTCATAGTTGGCAAGCTTAGAGGAGCTTGAAATGCTAGAGGTTTATAGGGAAGATTTTAGCAAGAGGAGGACAGAGGAGATAAACCTGGTGGAAACGTGCATAAACAAGGGCTTGCGGCCGTGTAGGAAGGAAGGGTGGGGAAGATAGAAGTGGAAGCTATATCATGAAAGCAGATGAAAGCTGTTGAGGGTTAGGAGTTGTATCCAGGAAGTTTGTCAACAAGATGAGATAATGAAAGAAGTAATTTAGAATGGCCATTTGTGAGACACAATGAGACTATGTGTTGTATTTGGAAAAAATGAAATTGGGAGATACAGCTTTGGGAAAAACAAGTAAAAGGTCAGTGAAATAGTGTTGGTATCAGGTGGTAGTGATTAAATATTAAAAAAATAGTAGAATGGAAAACATACAGGAAAAATGAGCAGTAGTTTATATGAGACAGGATATGTGTAGGAAAATTAGCTGACCACAATGAGTGTTGCAAAATTTTGAATTTAAGTAAGTTGAGGGGGGAAAAAGCCATAAATAGAAATGAGAGGAATATGGCCATTTTAAGAAGAAAATGTTCTGTTTGGACTGAGTAAATTCTTAAAGGTAAGATCTATTCGTAGTTTTCTATAGGGATTTTTATCAAGTAAGCTGTTGGGAAGCAGTTCCTAGTTAAGAGAATGTGATGTGGGAGTCATTGCAACAAAACAATACTGCCAAGAATGTGGATTTGAAGGAAGGAAAAGAACAAAAGGAGAGAAGAGAGCCAATTCCAAACCCAAGGGAATTGTTAAACATTAAAGATAGGATTTTGGAGATGTTTTTATATGTGTTCAAATACGAGAGTGAAAATGCATAGACGTTTAGGCAAGGGAAAAAGAAATATTGGGGACCTTAAAGGACTGCTGCCTCATTGAGGCCAAAGGAAAAAGAAGGCTGGGAAGACTTGAGGGGTCAGAAGAAAACTCGAGAAGAAGAGGAGGTAAGCTTAGGTAGTAAGTGAGGTAAAGTTTGTGGTAAATGACTTCAGTTACGTCATCTGGTTATCTGCTCATCCTGTGGAAAAAGCAGAATTTGAGGTTAAATATTTCTGGACATTTGGATAGT